AAAAAAAAAAAAAAATTAAAAAAAATTCAACTTACCAAAACTGACACAAAAAGAAATAGGAAATCTGAATAGTCCCAAAATTATTAAGGAAATTTAATCCATAATTTAAAAGTCTTTCAACAAAGAAAACTCCCAGGTCTACATAGCTTCCTTGGTAAATTCTTTCCAAACATTTAAGAAAGAAATAACATCAGTCTGACAAACAGCATTCCAAAGCTAAAATCCTTGGCGTGACTGGGGCTTCTAGCTAGGGTCGGATCTAGATCCTTTCTTGTCCTAAGCTACTCCATCTTCGATTACTTTCCACTGTACACTGACCTAGATAAACGAGCTTTTGCTGCTAGAGGAAGAAGAGCTTGCAGTTAGCAATGGCCGATGTTAAACAGAGGTAATTCAAGACCTAAACTAGTGATAGACAAAAGTGTTAAACATGTGACTTACATAGTTAGCCAGTTCTCAGAAAATGCTCCCTTCGCCCTCCCTCAAAAAAGGTTTTTCTAACCAGTGCCTGGGTCCTTACAAGGCCCTGTGCTTTTTCCATAACCTTGTTCAGCCTGTTGTTGTTGCTGTGTGCAGTCGAGTCCGTTCCGACTCATAGCAACCCTGCAGGACAGAGCAGAACTGCCCCATAGGGTTTCCAAGGAGTGGCTGGTGGATTTGAACTGACAACCTTTTGGTGAGTAGCCTGAGCTCTTAACCACTTCGTCAACCCCCTTAAACCTATAATTTGAATAAGCTAATGTTACAAAGTTGTGGCTTTTCTGTATCAAAAACTCTTTTTCTCTCCTTAAGCATTAGAATATTTAGCATTTTCACTTACAATCATACTAGAACTTTTTGTTTTATATTTCAACAGAACTCTCCTTCATAATGCTAAAATGACTCAATTTAAAATAGACTACAGATGTCCAGCTGACAGAAAACATGTGGTTTTAGTTGTCAGCCAGAATCCTGTCACTTGGAGCCATCCTTGCAAAAGATGTCAACACCTGCCAGGGTGGCTGACCAAGGCCCTGCCACCTGCAACTTTGTAAACGTTAACCAATCAAAATTGTTTCAGCTGTAATCTGCTGTTTGTGGTTTTTTCATCATAAGTCTTTGTATTACTATATAGCACATTGCTGGATTCCTCCCAGTGCTGTGTCTCCCGTTTTGCAGAACACTTTCTTTGCCATAATAAAACTCTTTGTTTTTAAATTTAAACAGACTCACTGAGTGATTCCCTACAATTTAAGTCTTATAATAAACACTTCCAGAGAATTAGACGAAAAAGGAACACTTGCCAAATCATTTTATGAGGTAAGCATAACCTTGATACCAACACATGAAAAGGGCATTATAAAAAAAAAATATATTAAATCCAATCTCTCTCATAAACATAGGCACAAAAACCCTAAAGAATATATTAGGAAATTGAATCTAACTCTCACTCTCTCTATATACATATATATATTTATATATTTATATATATATATATACTTCAAATTCTCTCTATATACGTATATAAACATATATAAATACAAACAGATTCGATATGCTACTGTGCTTAATATATATTTTTATATATACTATGTTTATATATATAAATCTTTACATACATAACCAAAACCAAACCCACCGCCAAGTCAATTCCAACTCATAGCAACCCCGTAGGACAGAGCAGAACTGCCCCATGAGGTTTCCAAGGAGCAGCTGGTGGATTCGAACTGCCAGCCCTTTAGTTTGGCAGCCAGGCTCTTAATGACTGCGCCACCAGGGTCCTATATTTTATATATATAAAGTCTTATAAATCTGACTAAATATGTTTATCCCAGAAAAGCAAGGCTGCTTTAACAGTTGAAGCAAATCAATGTCAGTTATTAGGTGTATGCACCTAAAAGTAGAGCTTCAAAATATAAGGAGCTAAAACTGATAGAATTGAAAGGAGATATAAAGAAATACACAATTTAAGTTGTAGACTTCAACACTCCTTTCTCAATAATAGATAAAGTAGACCAAAAAAATCAGTAAAAATATAGAAGATCTGAATAATGCTATCAATCAACTTGATGTGACATTTATAGAACAGTAAACCTCAAAAAAATAGAATACACCTCTTTTCAAATACACATGGGAAGAGTTAGAAAGAGAGATAATATTCTGAGCCATAAAGAAAAAAAAAAACAACTCCAATAAATTTACAAGGACTAAAATCATACAAAGTACAATCTGACCTTGTGGGAATTAAATTAGAAATCAGTAATAAAAAGTTGGCTGGAAAATGCCCAAATATTTAGAAATTACACAACACACTTCTAAATAACTAATGAGTCAAAGAAGGAATCCCAAGGGAAATTAGAAAATATTGTGAACTAAACATTAATGAAAACATAACATATCAAAATATGTGTGGCATGGCTTAAGCAGTGTTTAAAGGGAAAATGATACCTTAAATATTATTACTAGAAAATTAAAAAGGTCTTATACTAGAGATGTAAGCTTCTACTTTAAGCAACTAGAAAAAGAAGACCAAATTAAACTCAAGCAAACAGAAGAAAATAATACAGACAAGAGCGAAAATCAGTGAAATAGGAAACAGAAAATTAGAGAAATTAACGAAGTCAAAAGGTTGTAATTTGAAAAAAACAGTAATTTTGAAAAACCTCTAGCCAGAATGATCAAGAGACAAAGAGAGAAGACACAAATTACAAGTATCAGGAGTTAAGAGTAGACAACATTACAGATCCTACAGACATTAAACTCAACAACTTTGATGAAGTAGACAAATACCTTGAAAGACACAATTGCCAAAGATCACTCAAGAAGAAATGGATAACTGAATAGCCCTAAATCTATCAGAAAAATTGAATTCATAGTTACAATCTTTCTACAAGAAAAAATTCCAGACCCAGATGACTTCACTGGTACATTCTATAACACACTTAAGGAAGAAATAATACCAATTCACACACTCCCAACTCATTGGATTAGGTTAGCATTATCCTAATACCAAAGCCAGACAAAGACAATACAAGAAAGGAAAACTACAGACCATAGATGCAAAAAATCTTAATAAAATATTAACAAATCAAATCTAGCAATATATAAAAAGGATAATATATCGTGACCAAGAAGGGTGATTTATCCCAGAAATGCAAAATTGATCCTGAATTTGAAAATCAATGTAATACATCAACAGATTAAAAACAAAAATAAACAATAAAATTATTATCTCAATAGATAATAAAGGATTTCACAAAATCCAACATCAATTCATCAAAAAAAAAAAAAAAAAAAACTAGGATAGTAGAGATCGTGCTCAATCTGATAAAAGACACGTATGAGAAACCTATACCTTAATAGTGAAAGACTGAATGTATTCCCCCTAAGATCGGGAACAAAGCAAAGATGGTCACTCTCACCAATTCTCTTCAACACTGTACTGAAGGTCCTAGTCAGTGTAATAAGGCAAGAAAAAATAAATAAAAAGCATACAGGCTTCATGGAAGAAAAAGCTCTTTATTTACAGATGACATAAAAAAATTGTGGTATAGCTCTGCAATGGAATACTATTCTGCGATAGAAAGGAGTAAACATGGATGAATCTCAAAAGTATTATGTTAAGTAAAAGAAACCAGATGCAAAAAGCTATATACTGTATGACTCTATATATATAACATTATGAAAAAGGCAACACCATAGGGACAGAAATGAGATCAGTGGTTGCCAAGAGCTGAGGACAGAGGGCTGTAAAGGACATGAGGAAACTTCTGGATGATAGAAACATTCCATATCTTGATTGTGGCGGTAGTTACATGACTACATACATTTTTCAAAACTCATCGGATAAATTTTTTTGTATGTAAAATATCTCAATAAACCTAACATTAAAAAAAAAAAACAATGTAATTTACCACATTAACAGAAGAAAGGAGAAAAACCACATGATCATCTTAACAGAGAGAGAAAAGAGCATTTGACAAAATTCGATATATGATAAAACTCTCAGAAAACTAGGAAAAAGAAACTGTCTTAATCTAATAAAACATACGTATAAAAATCACTTGATAAATCTTAGAAGAAGTCTCTATGCACTTTTCTGTATGTGTTGTATTTCACAACAAAAATATATAACTTTCTTCTAGTTCTAAGGATGCCTAACCCTTGGACCTAGCAATGCCACCCAACAAAAATTGAGTACGTACGTTCACCAAAAGATATAGCAAAATGTTTACAGCAGCACCGTTCAGAGTAGCCTACAACTGGAAACTATCAAAGTGCCCTTCAAGAGTCGAATGAATAAAGAAAATGTAGATTATTTAAACAACAGAATACTACTCAGGTATGAATATGAACACTCTACAACTACATGCAACAATATGGATAAACTGCATAAATATAATATGGAGTGAAAAAAGCAAGTCACAAAAAGTGCATACAAATGATTCCATTCAAATTAAATACCAATCAGGTGAACCAATCTATGCTGCTAAACCAAACCCCTGCCATCGAGTCAATTCCAACTCATAGTGACCCTATAGGACAAAGCAGAACTGCCCCATAGGGTTTCCAAGGAACAGCTGGTAGAGTCAAACTGCTGACCTTTTGGGTAGCAGCCAAGCTCTTAACCGCTGTGTCACCAGGGCTCCTCTCTGCTGCCAGAAGTCAGGATAGTGATTCGCCATGGGTGGGGAGTAGGTAATAACTGAAAGGGAATGCAAGAGTGACTTCTAAGGTACTGGAATGTTCTGTTTCTTGATCTGTTGGTACATGAATGTATTCAATTTATGAAAATTCAGTGAACCGTACATTTAGGATATGTACAGTTTTCTACATATTCTACTTCAATGAAAGTTTTTTAAGAATTAAAACAAAATAAAAATAAAGCCTACCCACTGGAATGAAGAGTCCACCATCCTCCATCTCTTCCTCAGCTTGGTGAGCTAGAGTCCTAGGCGGCTTTTCTTGAGAAGAGACACAGACACCTGGCTGGGATGATTTCCTAGGCTGGGCCCCTGGTTTTGCTGGGTGGCTGCCTGGTGGCAGTGAAGGTATCTCCCCTCCAGAATGCATCTGAGGTTTCCCTGAAAGAGTGACAAATATCGTTCCACACTTTGCCCATTCAACCATACTGTTGCAAAAATCAGCATCTTGTTACAAAGTCCTTTTTAGTAAGAAAACTTCATGAATTAAACATTACTGTACAGGCATTCCCCTCTATTAAAAATAGTGTTCTTCCCCGATCTCAAAACATACTATACAGCCACGGTAATCAAAATGACCTGGTACTGGTTCAATAATAGATACACAGACCACTGGAACAGAATCAAGAATCCAGAAATGAATCCATCCATCCATGGGCAATTGATTTTAGAAAAAGGGCCAAAGCCCACTCAATGGGGAAGAAACAGTCTCTTTAATAAATGGTGCTGGCAAAATTGGATATCCACATGCAGAAAAATGAAACAAGACCCATACCTCACACCACACACAAAAACTAACCAAAGTGGATCAAAGACCTAAATGTTAAAGCTAAAACTATAAAGTTCTTGGAATAAAACATAAGGACAAAACTATGTGACCGAATTTTTTTTCTTTTAATAAATTATCAAACACAACTATTAATGCACAAACAGCAGAAGTCAAATTAGATAACTGGGACCTCCTAGAAATTAAATACTTGTGCACATCAAAAGACTTTATTAAAAGTGTAATAAGAGAACCTACAGAGGGGAAAAAAATCTTTGGGAAAGACATATCTTATAAGGATCTAGTCTCGAAAATATATAGAAAACGCCAACAACTCAACAACAAAAAGACAAACAACCCAATTAAAAAACAGGCAAAGGACATGAACAGACACTTCACCAAAGAGGATATTCAAGTGGCCAACAGACAAGTGGAAAGATGCTCACAGTCATTAGCCATAAGAGACAGAAATAAAAACTACAATGAGATACCATTTCACTCCTGCAAAAATGGCACTGATTTAAAAAAAAAAAAGAAAAAAAGAGAAGACAACAAATGATGGCAAGGCTGTGGTGAGACTGGAATCCTTATTCACTGATGGTGGGGTTGTAAAATGGTACAACCACTATGGAAAACAGTATGGTGCTTTCTCAAAAAATTAGAAATAGAACTACCTTATAATCCAGCAATCCCACTGCTAGGTATAATATACCCTAGAGATCTGATACTAAAGACACAATCAGTCATATGCACACCTATGTTCATTGTAGCACAATTTACAATAATAAAAAGATGGAAACAACCTAAGTGCCCATCAAGAGATGAATGCATAAACAAAATGTGTACATATATACAACAGAATACTATGCTGCAATAAAGAATAATGATAATTTATCAAAATTTACTATAACAGGTATGAAACTGGAGGATATTATGCTGGGTGAAATAAGTCAATCACAAAAGGGCAAATACTGTATGATCTAATCATAAAAAGACAAGAATAGGTATACATACTGAAACCAGTGTTCACTGGTGGTTACCAGGAATAGGTGGGGGGATGGATATCACTCTCTAGATGGTAGACATTTGTTATTTTGGGGGACAGAAATATAACACTAAAGGTGGGTGAGTGCACAGCTTGATCAAGATAAACGATGTCATTAACGCAAGAAAAAAGGACGTTTTTGCTAAATGTTAGGATATATAGAACTGTGCAACAATAATATGTGTGTAGATTGTATGCATACAAGCATATTAGGTATGTATACGTGTATAATAGGTGGGCGTATATAGATATGTCTATATGCAGGTGTATATATACGTAAGTATGCATCCATATATATTCATATATACAATAAAGCACATAGGAGACACAAATACAGATACTTATTAAACACCTTGCAGGACTGGTTTATGGGGTCTGAGGCTTAGGAACATAATCTCGTGGGATAATTCAGTCAATAGGCATAATATAGTAGGTAAAGTTTATGTTCTACATCCTAGTTGGGTGAGTACCATCTGGGGTCTTAAAAGCTTTCGAGGGGCCAACTAAGATATGACTCTGGAGTCTCTACACATCTGGAGTAAAAGAGACTGAAGGAAACCAAAGACTCAGAGAAGAAAGTAGTCCACAGGACTAGTAGTCTACACAAACTACAACCTCATCTACCCTGAGACCAGAAAAACTAGATGGTGCCCGGCTACCACTACCAACTGTTCGAATCAGGAACACAATAGATAAACCCTGATAGAATGGGAGAAAAATGTGGAACAGAACTCAAATTCTTAAAAAGTCCAGACTTACTGGACCAGTTGAAACTGGAGGACTCCTCAAGACTATCACCCTGAGATACTTCAATCCTGATGAGGCACTCTTCTTCATATAGTCCATCTTCTCGGATTATTTGCTTAGCATACAGATTGAATAAAAAAAGACAAAAAACAAAACTACCGCCGTCGAGTCAACTCCGACTCATAGCGACCCTATAGGACAGAGTAGAACTTCCCTATAGGGTTTCCAAGGAGCAGCTGGTGGATTCGAACTGTGGACCTTTTGGTTAGCAGCCTGAGCTCTTAATCACCGCACCACCAGGGCTCAACAGACTGAATAAGTATGGTGAAAGGATACAGCCCTGACATACACCTTTCCTGATTTTAAACTGTGCAGTATCCCCTTGTTCTGTTCAAACAACTGCCTCTTGGCTATGTACAGATTCTGCACGAGCACAATTACACATTCGGGAATTCTCATCTTCACAATGTTCTCCGTAATTTGTTATGATCCAGACAGTCAAATGCCTTTGCATAGTCAATAAAACACAACTAAACATGTTTCTTTCTGGTATTCTCTGCTTTCAGCCAAGATCCATCTGACTTCAGCAATGATATCCCTCGTTCCACACCCTCTTCTGACTCTGGCTTGAATTTCTGGCAGTTCCGTGTTGATGTACTGCTGTAACCGTTTTTGAATTATCTTCACCAAAATTTTACTTGCGTGTGATATTAATGATATTGCTTGATAATTTCTGCATGTTATGGATTGAACTGTATCCCCCAAAAATGTGTGTCAACTTGGCTAGACCATTGTGATGGCTAAGATTGTGTGTCAATTTGGCTGGGCCATGATTCTCAGTGTTTAGGCAGTCATATAATGTGATCACTTTCCTGTAGAGATTCAATAATGTGGTCACCCCTGTGATGGGATCTGCTGCGAGTAGCCAATCAGTTGAAAGGGAGTTTCCTTGGGCATGCGGCCTACATGGAATATGGGCGGGTATTCTGGCAAGGCTTGGGGGCTTTTTGCTCGTTTTGGATCCTGCAGCTGGCTCCTGTTCATCTAACTTCCAGTTCTTGGGACTTCAGCTAGCAGCTTACCTGCAGTCTTGCCTGCCGATCTTGGGATTCATCAATCTTCACAGCCTGCAAGAAAGAGCCCTGCTTTCTGACCTGCTGATCTTGGGTTCGCCAGCCCCTGTGGCTACGTGAATCAGGAGAAGCCTCTATTCTGACCCACGGACTTGGGACATTCCAGCCTCTACAACTGCATGAGCCATTTCCTTGATATAAATCTCTCTATACGTATGTACTTATATGCTTTACTGATTTTGCTTCTCTAGAGAACCCAGCCTAAGACAACCATGATTCCCAGTATTGTGCAGTTGTCCACCATTTTGTGATCTGATGTGATTTTCCTATGTGCTGTAAATACTAATCTCTATGATGTTAATGAGGCAGGATTAGATGTAGTTATGTTAATAAGGCAGGATGCAATCTACAGGATTAGTTTGTATCCTGAGTCAATCTCTTTTGAGATATAGAGACAGAATCGAGCAGAGAGGAGAGGGACCTCATACTACCAAGACAGAAGCACTGGGAATGGAATGTGTCCTTTGGACCTGGGGTCCCTGGCACTGAGAATCTCCTAGACCAGGGGAAGACTGATGACAAGGACCTTCTCCCATAACTGACGGAGACAGAAAGCCTTCCCCTGGAGCTGGTATGCAGAATTCAAACTGCTAGCCTCCTAGACTGAGAGAGAATAAGCTTCTGTTTGTTGAAGCCATCCACTTGTGGTATTTCTGTTATAGCAGCACTAGTTAACTAAGACACCACATTTCGTTGGATCACCTTTCTTTGGAATAGACACAATTATGGATCTCTTCCAGCTGGTTGGCCAGGTTGCTGTCTTCCAAATTTCTTGGCATAGTCGTGTGAACATTTCCAGCTTTGCATCTGTTTGTTAAAGCAACTCAACAGGTATTCCGTCAATTCCTGGAGCCTTGTTTTTCGCCAATGCCGTCAGTGCAGCTTGGACTTCCTTCCTTCAGTACCATCAGTCCTTGATCATATGCTACTCCTTGAAATGGTTGAATATCGACCAATTCTTTTTGGTACAGTGACTCTGTGTATTCCTTTCATCTTCTTTTGATGTTTCCTGTGTCACTTGATCTTTTGCCCACAGAATCAATATTGCAACTCGAGGCTTGAATTTTTTCTTGGAAGCTGTCAAAAATGAAAGGGAATGCTTGAAGATTGATATCCCAGGCATTAGTGAGCTGAAATGGACTGATACTGGCCATTTTGAATTGGACAATCATATGGTCTACTATGCTGAGAATGATAGATTGAAGAGAAACAGTGTCACATTCATTGTCAAAAAAAATTTCGAGATCTATCCTGAAGTACAATGCTATCAGTGATAGGATAATATCCATACGCCTATAAGGAAGACCAGTTAATACAACTAACTATTATTCATATTTACGCACCAACCACTAACGTAAAAGATGAAGAAATTGAAGTTTCTACCAACTTCTGCAGTCTGAAATTGATCAAACATGTAATCAAGATGCATTGATAACTACTGGTGATCAGGATGCGAAAGTTGCAAACAAGAACGATCAGTAGTTGGAAAAAAACGGCCTTGGTGATAGAAATGACACTAGAGACTGCAGGACAGAATTTTGCAAGACCAACGACTTATTCACTGGAAATACCTTTTTTAAACAACATAAACAACAACTATACATGTGGATCTCACAGGATGGAATACACAGGAATCAAACTGACTACTTCTGTGGAAAGAAATGACAGAGAAGTGCAATATCATCAGTCA